ATTCCCCACTCAATGGTCCGGCATAAACCGCTTCGCCATCATTTCCCGCCTTCTGCAGGTGCTCCAGGTGGAAGTCGGAGTTGAAATCACAGATGGTAATGTCGGACACACTTCCAGGTACTGCTGATGTCACGTTGAGGGCCAATCCATTCGGCAAAACGCTCACTTCCACCTTCACGCCATACTGTCCATGCTTCTTGCTGAAGAAGACTTTCTTCTCGCCAAAGCTGACGGCAGGGGCGTTCGTCTGTTGAAACGTCACGTCGACTGCATAGCGCGCCATTGGGAAGTGTTTGAAACGACGACCTGTCTTGGTCAGGTAGTCCATTGAGTACTTGTTGGCGACGGACTCAATGTACTTTGTCCATTGAGCGACGCGAGCGAAAATTTGAAATGACGTGTGTGTGATGGCCGATTTCGTGCGTTTGGCGCCAATACACGTAAGGATTTTGGCGGCAATATTTCATGCATTTCGTGTGCATTTTTATTCGTTTTGAGAGATATTCATATTTGAAAGACGAATTCTGTGTACATCTTTATTGCGACACGTGTTTTGATTTGTACTCCAGTAGATGCTGTGATTTAGGAAATGACTGAGTGATTCTCTAATTCATTCAGTAAATCGTCAATGACAGATTATACGTTTCATTTCACCTACAGTATCACTGATTATGTGGTGAGTTATTCACTAGTTCATATGTTTTTTACCAAAGGCGTTGTGACTGACTAATGACTAAATTATTTTGAATTGTGACGCAGCATTTTGTAAATTGGCACATATTTGGTTAAATACCCAGTAACTGGTTTTGAGGTCTAGTCAATTGAAAAATGGTGTACTAGTACGTAGTACTTCGTATACAGTACTGTAGTAGTATTGTCAAATGGATTCGAATGTTGGAGTGTGCGGGGGTGCTAAATCGGCAGCCAATCGATCGACCAATCAAAACCCAGAACACTAATCAAGTGGCCAATCAAATTCAATCTTCGATCAATTGATAGACGATCTTGCCATACAAAAGTCAGGGCAAAGAATCGATCGATACATAGATTTGGCGAATCAGTACAAAAGTCCAAATATATTTTGGGTACAAGGACAATTGTACACTCACCAACGACGGGTGGCCAAAATCACTCGAATGATGGACCTGCGAACGAATATGTAGTCGCTACCCGAAGCGTTCTCCAGCACGTCGTGACCCGGTCGACGGAGCGCATCAAAGCACAGCGTGCATGTTCTCAAGGACAGACTGGTCGTTGTACAGCATCGCCGCGGCGGTGCGCTCTTGATGTGGAAGTCGTTGGTGCTGCCGTTGTCGTTCATGTGGTGGCACATGGCCCCGATGAAAAGCGCGAGGATGTCGCGGCGGTTGAGGAGTCCACTCCCGACGAGATCTGCAACGGGGCCCAGGGGGGAGGTGGCGGGTGAAAGGAGAGGGATTGAGACGGAACTCAAAGCCAACTCCTCGGGCACCGACTGAGACAACATGACAAGAAACGTCACATGCAGTGTGGTGAACTCGTGCAGAAAGTTGTGGTACAGTACGTCGCGGTATTGGTCGCGCACCGCGACTACAAATCGCCGCAACGTGGACAGGCCAATGCGAAAGTGCAGAGGCAGCGAGAATGCTTGGAAGATGGTCAACACATGGCCCACCAACACGTCTTTGGACAAAGCGGCAGCCGCAAACGGATCGAACGTCCACTGTTTCAACTCGTCCGGCAAAGCGCTATTGCGGGGCGACGGGGGGGTTGAGGAAGGGGAAAGGGGGCGGGGCTCTTTGGCCATGATACCCTGCACGCGCTGACGAGTTGTCGAATCGCGAGATGGAGGAATGCGGCTCTATCGGAATCCGAATCGGCTGACGGGTGGCCGTTCGGTTAGCTTTCTGTAGACTACGACGGTCGTCGGTTTTGAAAGCAGACGTGTTTCGCGGCGAGGCCTTCCACGAACTAAAAATGTTAACGTCAGCTCCATGTGCCTTCTAAATGACGACAAAAATGGCACTTTGTGTACCAAAGTGACCACAGACGAAAGCACTTGCATCGTGCTAACGTCGTCCACGTGGAATGGCCACGGCTCCAGCGTCGTTGTTGTTGTTTGGTTGATTGCATGCAACACCCCAATCACTTGTATGGTCTGGGACTGGGGGCAAAGACGGGAACCGACACGACGGCGGCTGTTGCTTTGTCGGCAACCAGATGGAACGCCCGGTGGAAGTGGGCGGCGGTTGAAAGCACCAGTGGAGCCGCAGTACAGGCGACGGACGACGCGAAGCCCTCGCGAACGCACCCTCCATCTTCGTTGACATGGCGGGAGCAACACAAATACGATGTAGATGGATCGACAAGCAACACCATGAAGACGTCGGCCCGTAGGATCTACAGTCTATTGGGCCGAAGTTTCATCCAATCGAGAGGGCCTTACCTCCTTCGTAGGTCGCTCGACGTCGGCAACCGCTTCCCCGGAGTGTTTACTGGACGACCCCTGGGGGATAAACGTTGAAGCAACGCTATGAGGAGGGTGGCCCGGCGGCAGGCATCGCATCGAAGGAAAGATATGGCAGATTCCTGCGAGAGAATGCCTTGTCTGTGGGTCCTCAGTGGCTGCACGCCACGAAGCGACGGCGAGCCCACCGCAGCTTGATTTGAAGACTTCGACCAGTAACGCTGCCGCGCCTTTGTTTGATGTAACAAGCTCGTCCCCATTGCCAATATGAGGTTCTTCCTGGGTATCCAACTTGACTACGAATGGAGGGCATACGTACGACTATACGAGTGATGAGGATAGGTTGGGAAGGGGGGTCAAGATGGTCAGGGCAATGTACTACTACGTACATGTACTTGGAGCGATGGACAATATTCATCTCATGTGGGCGCGGACGACGACGGGTGGATCCATGATACAGTTGGCAAGTGGACAGACCTGCGCGTGAGGTACGTGTGCCATATTCGAGTGGTGTTGGACACTTGAGGTCGCGCCTTGACTAGCCGACGGCCGTCGAAAGCAGCACCATGATGCAAGCAAATGTGCGGGGTGCGGAAACTCGCCATCAATTGATCCTGACGATATTATTATCACTTCAAACACGACTGCAACATGATGGTAAGTGAAGGGGCCTTAGCATCAATGGCCACGAGGATGAAGCTGGTTCGGTCATTGCGAGGGCGGCATCGACGAGGACGGACGCTGTCTTTGCTGGTGTAGCGAGGGGCAAACTTGACGCGAGGAGGCGCGTGAGATGCTGCACGAGTGACCACTGTCGCCTTGCATGAGACGTCGACAGTTTGAGCCTTTTCTTGGATGTGTTTTCGTCGTCGTCAAAAGCTCGACGTGGGCGGCCACCTGTGGATGGAGTCGGTAGATTTTCGCACTCATGTCGTCAGGGCCCCACGGCAATCACACACCCGCGGTGGATGCCTGTCTTCAACTGTCGAGGAAACTGTTAATTACAGCACCACGACCTCTGTAACTGCCATCCTGACTAACAAATTTACTGAGAGCATCCATCGCCAAAAACAGACACACCGTTGCATTGTTGGAGCCCACCTTAGCAACGCAACTGTAGCCGCACAAGTCATCGTGGCACTGGAATGTGTGTTGTTTTTGGGGGGAAGTATTGCATTCACCAGACGACGTGGGAGAAAACAATAGCGTTCGACGGCGGGCGAGGTATACTGTATATCTTAGGATTACCAACCCGACTACAAAGCGACGTATGGGGGTATGGGGACCAGGCTCCCAAATACATACGACCGAGACATGCCAATGGAACTTTCGAAACCGTTTCAACAACCTTCATGTAACCGGTTCTATGGACTTCGCTAAATATAAACGCAGACGCTACCGCAGGGTTGGATGAGCGAGAGCCCTGCTGGGCTACGCTTACCGCAGCTCAAAGCTGTGGACGTCGTGTCCTCGTCAACTCTACCACGCCGAACGTCGTTGAACTCGGGGATCGAATCCAAGGGAGGGGGAGGGGGCGGTAGTGCCCCCGTGTCACCACGGCCGACACCTCCTCCGTCAAGATCAGACAAGTTGCAAACGGGCACAGGGCGAATACCCAAACCGCCACCCCCCCAACAACAGCCCTTGGTTCGTGTCCAACTCAACGGGAAATTACTAGTTTCAATGTCAACCAATTTGCATCGTATAGGACGACGGATCAGCTTCGGTGGCCGTTGGTCACAGCAAAATCGTCGCTACGACCATCAAACTGAACCAAGTTCAGCCACTAGGGTCTTTGCAACCCCTGCCAACGACGACACAGCCATTGTACGCCCCACAATCGACGCCCAACACCACGACCGACCTTTCCCTAATTACAACACCCTCCACAAATTTGAGTCCGCCAAAAACTCACCACCTCCCGTCACTGTTTGCCAGGTAGTAAGCTACTGTAGGGATCCAACCTCCTGGGAAGTTTGATTGACCATATCCACGTTAGCAACCACGAGCGATCCGATCGCAAACTTGACTTGGAACAGCGCATCTCCAAGCTTGAGCTGGATCACTTTCCCGCCCATCACGACCACAGTACGTGTTCTTTTTCCGTTATTTTCTTGATACCTCCACCTTGTAGCACACTTTGCCCACGACGACGCCGAACGGTACTCGGACATGACACTGGACGAATACATGGTCTACGCCAAGACGCTGGACCTTCCTCAGCTTCAAGCCCATCACTCCAAATTGTTCAAACTCGTGCGGCAGTACCAAGGCCTGTTCAGCGTCGCCAGTGCCATCTCGGTGGAGATCGACAGCAACGGCGCCCTCGCACGCATCGTGTCGGGGGTCCACCGTGTGATGCCTGTCGAGAGGGTGCTGCTTCTCCTTGTGCATCGCAAACGAAGTGTGCTGTGTGGGACTGTCGGCGGCGCGGACATCGAAGTGCCATTGGCTGCAGGTACTACAACCAATATGTCCCCTCGAAACCCAGCCGACGCTTTTGCGCATGATTGGTCGGCTATCGAGAAAGCGCCAGTATTTTCGGGGTCGAGATTGCACTTGACTGGTGGAAAATTGTGAATCATGCGCTTTATGCACGCCATTCGGGGGTGGACTGGGGTGACAACTGAACCCGTGTGTTGATTCATGTAGGGATCGAAGGGGAGGTAGTCACCCACGGCAAAGCGATGATGATCAACGACGCCCCCAACGACGCGCGCTTCGACGCGACGTTGGACACTCTGTCCAACTTTACCACTCGCAACGTCCTGTGTGCGCCTGTGACAGACCCCCAGGGAAACATCATGGCGGTGCTGCAGTGCGCGAACAAAGCCGCGCCGTTCACGAGCAGCGACTGCCTCAGCTTGGAGCTGATTGCGCTCATTGCAGGCCACACGTTGCACAAACTCGAGTTGTTTGATAGCGCCATGTCGGCTGGCCGGCGCACGTCTGCGATTTTGCAAGTGGTCAAGGCGGTGGCGGACGAAAGTACGATGCTGCTTCTGTACTACGATAGATGTGTTGTATACCTATCGATGATATCAACTATTGGAACGATGATGATATGTATGTAGACCATGACACACATGGCATGATCCTCCGCGTGGTTCAAGTTGCCAAGGACGCGCTCAACTGCGACCGGCTCACTTTGTACTTGTGCAACAGCGTGCGGCGGGAGCTCGTGTGCTTCGTGTGCCGGGACTCGATGGTCGACCGATTCTGTCTGCCCTATGGGAAGGGCCTCGCAGGCCACGTCGCCACCACGGTACTACTTTCTACCCCCATCACGATACATTCACATAGGCAGTTGAAACTATGATTCCATGGTCGTTTCCATGCCCCCCCCTGTTTCTTCCCATATGTCGTGCGTGCGTGTGTGTGCTGGCTCGACGAAATTGGGCACCCCCCCCCCGATCGTTTGTTGACGGTTGTGTGGCGTAGGGCAAACTCCTCCGCATTGCCAACTGTTACGACGACCCACGGTTCCACCCGGACGTGGACGTCAAGTCGGGGTACAAGTCAGTCTCCATGCTGTGCGCGCCCGTGATCTCGGCTGACGGCAACACGATCGCCGTGCTCCAAGCAATGAACAAATCGTCTTGGCCCATTCCAAGCAACTTCACGGGCACGGTCCCGTCAGCGTCCATCACGGCGTTCCTCGACAGCGACGTGGCGCTCTTGACAGCGTTTTGCACAGGTACGAGTTATTTTTCCAGTAGCTGCCAACCCCCTTCCCCCTACCATACAATGACCCCACCACTGCACTGCCGTCCGCCTTATGTGAGATGACGTGGACGACCATTAGAACTCGCGGGGTCCCTTCGCAAGTCAACGCTCGAAGTACTGTATCACAACGTGTACAGCGACATGCACAAATCCAAACGGCGAGACTCGGTGACGCTCATGGTGTCATCACTACTGGGCGTCCACTCAAACGAGAAGGGCATGTCGCACAGTTGGAGCCGCAAAGGATGGAAAATCTCGGGGCTCGTCAGTCTCGCGGCCACCAAGTTTATGAACTCGCTGGCCAAACGAAGGAGCGAGCCGTTCGTCCCCGACGCCGCCGCCGCCGTTAGTCTCGGCCGCGGCAGCATCGGACGGGGGTCCGAGGGCAAGTCATCGTCCCACGAAACGCTGCACGCGGTGTCGGCAGAGTGGCGCAGTAAACAGCACGGATTTGACGACTTTACCTTTGACATTTTTACATACACCCACGACCAGCTGGCAGTGCTGGTGGTATGACCCTATGGCATTTTGATTGCTAAAATCCCATGTGTTCCCATTTAACAGATGTAAACAATATATGTAGGTGCAAGGGTTTACGCAAATGGGGTTGTGCAGTATCTTTTCGATTCCGGACGAAATTGCCGTACGTTTCGTCGATACCGTGAGACGCGGTTACCGCGACAATCCATATCATTCGTGGTGGCACGCTGTGGACGTGTACCAGCACGTGTTTGCATTGCTCAATCGCACGCACTTGCTGTCCATGTTGCAGGTGTGGACAGCCCATTGCAGAATACACCCTGAGTCCATACATTCTAGCCATCAACGTATGTGACACTGTTGTGATGATATTTACCCGTAGCCCAACATTGTGTTTGCCATGTTGGTGGCAGCGCTGTGCCATGACATTGGTCATCCCGGCACGGACAATGCGTATGAAATCGCCACAGGCTCGGCGTTGGCGATTCAGTACAACGACATGAGCGTACTGGAGCAGCACCACGCGAGCGAAACGTTTCGGATCTTGCACCTACCGGCGTGCAATATCCTACTGGGGGTGAGCAAGCCCGGGTATCAGACCATACGAAAGCTCGTCATCGACGGCATTCTCCAAACCGACATGAAGTGCCATTTTGATCTCGTCCACGACCTCGAAGATGCGGTAAGCCAGTCCATCTCTTCCGTCCTTCGTTGTGATTCCAACGACTTGAACTCCGTTTTTGAGCTTACGCATGTGTTGTGTGCGTTGTGTAGGTCGTCCGTCGGCAAAAGAATTTGGACATGTTTGACATTGCGAACGCCACGCACGTGAAATGGCTCACAGGGGCCATCTTGCACGCGTCGGACATTGGCGCCCAAACGTACCCCGTTGCGATTGCAGGACAATGGTACGTTTATGTGAAGGTATTCGATTTACTAACAATCACTCACCCACGCATGCATGCTTCTATCCAAACCAGGTCGAATCGACTGGTAGATGAGTTTCGGCTGTTGGGGGAGAAAGAGCGCAGCGAGGGGCTGCCGGTGGCGCCTTTCCGAGACAACCTCACGACGAGCAAGGCCGTGGGTCGCCTTCAGCTCAACTTTATCAACTACATCGTGACCCCTATCTGGCACCTTCTCATCGACATGTTTCCTGACGCGGGGGTCCTCCGCGTGAACCTGGACGAGAACCGCACGCACTTTCAAAATCTTATCCTCGAAGATGCCCCCAAGCTGTCGTCGTCCGGGGGCAGTGACCCCCTCCTTGCTACGGCCTTGTCGGCCTCTCGGCTGTCTAAACCAGAGCTCCGGCGGTCCAACTCGAACGACAGCGACATCGTGCTGAACCAGCAGCTCCACCACCAGTTGTCCATGATTATGGATGCCCCGCCCAAAATGCGAAGAAGTCAGACGTTTGGGCGACATACAAACCAACACCTGCGGCACCTCAACGCGTCGTCTAGCCAAGCCAACCTCTCTACCCCGTATCTGTACGCTACACGACCACCGTCACTGGGATCGAGCTGTTCCAAAGATAGTTTGCACCGACCCCCAAGCATGCCTCGGATCCTCAGCTCCAACACATCGCAAGCCACCGTCTCATCCAATGATGGAGGAGATAAGATGAACATCGCCCAGATGACTTTTGACAAACCCGCATGACACAATAAAAGTTGGTTGATATTATTAACACAAAACGAATCTATTGGTCCCCAATATCCTCTCCCATTGGCCAATTTGAAAAGGCTTGTTGCTGATTGGTTACATTGCTTTGGATGTTAGCCAATCCAACGTCTTGGCGCGGTTTCTGTACGGCTTAACGAACCATGCAGAATTCAACATTGTATCATGGATTTCTCCCAAATTTAGTTAAACGTGTAAATCATTTCGCCAAATAGCATTCGAATCAATTTGATCCAATTTCAGCTTGTACAAACAAAGATTAGTCCAGTTTGCCCAATGGCTGCTCCAATTTCGAATCGATTTGACAATATCGTTAGGACACTTGAAAATAGTACTGTACAGTATTGCGTACAACGCTGCACTACCTTATTCACTACCTTATTCTAGATCGTTCCACTGGGACTCAAGAGCTTGAATGGAATCAAGGGTGGTCGTCGAGAGTTTGCGGCGAGGCTGCATCGATGAGGCGGGAACCTCTTGCGCCACCAGCACCACATCCACAGGCCGACAGCTCTGCGCCACCAGCAATCCAATGTCCTCGATCGTGCGGTCATGCTCAGAATCGGATTTCAACGGACCTTCCACAACGCTCGTGAGGATGCGGTCGTTGTGGTTTGTGGCTACCATCTACATAACCAGTCAGTCAATCGTACTATGGAGGATATTGATTCAATCAAACATTTGCAGACGAAAACGAGTAGAGTTCGACCAGACACTCGACGACTAACAATAACAACAAGAGATATATGCCACAAATGTCACGTACGTCGATGGACACGTCAAAGTGCCGCAGCAATGTCCGCATGGCCACGGAATACGCAAACGAAAAGTCTTTGGTTGCTTCGATGCCTTGGAGTTGCTGCAGCAACGCTTCCAGGCGGGGCTGGATCTGCGTCTCTCGGATGTACGTCCACTCAGTGAGGTTGTCGAATTGGGCGTGCTGGGCGGCCAAGATGTGGGCCCACGCCACGTCCTACCCTCCATTATAGTCGCATGTATGTATGCTCGATGTATATATTTATATAAACACATACGTCTGGGGGTGGCAGCAGTGCGCTGTGGGCGGGAAAGAGCTCGTGGTGGTATTTTGTCTCGACGTTCAACGCAAACGCAAACGATTCCTTCAACTTGGCGGCGACTTCTACGCCATTGTGAGCCCCTTGCGTAGATTTCAAATGCAGCGGTTTGCTGCGTGTTCCGTGCTTCACATGGATGTCCAAGGGAAACTCGCCGATCCATTGGATGTGCGCTGGCCACGAAAAAGAAGACGACGAGGGGAACGTGTGGCCTTCTTGCAAGTTGGTGCGGCGCTGGATAGCCACACAGCCTGACTGCAGGTGGGGCAGCAGCACACTCGACAGAAACTTGTGGATGCGGTCGTTTGAGAGGTTGATGTCCTCGTCGTGGGGCGATGTCATGAAAGCGGACGGCAAGGCGAAGCCATACCCTTGAAGCAGGTTGTCCTGGACAGACGCTTCGAGTCCCGCGATGGCGCCTTGGATCAGAACGGCGGCGGCGGCGGCCGGCAGCGTGAAAAGATCAGCTGGAAGGCGCACAATGAGCAAGTCTAGCACTTCCACGTCTAGCAGCCGTAGGATTTGCTCAAGATGCTCGTGAAGGACGACACTGGACAATCGATCTTGCACACCTAGGACGAATGCAAATTGAGCTCAGCTGCATGTTTTGGGGCTACCCCGTACTCAATGAGGGACGGTCGTGGCTGAGCACGTCTTCGTCGAGGATGGCGCTAATGACGAGCCCTTCGCGTGGGACGTCGTCCTCGGAAAGAAGTTCGTTGATGGCAATGCTCTCCCCGAGGCGGCCCAGATTTTCGTCGTTTGCAGGGTCCCCAGAGTATGAAAAGTGCGTTTGGACCAAATTGCTGCCACGGGTCAACACGGCAGCTTTCACCTCAGCAATGACCTGGGTGTCCTTGATAAACGTCGCAGGGCTGCCGTACCCGAGTGGAGCGATCGAGACACCCTCCGAGGATGCAGGCGCACCAGGGAATCGCAGAGCAGCCGTGGATTGAACGTTGGCTTTCGATAGAATCGCCGATGCTCCAGCAGCTGTTGCTCGACCTGTGTGCAGCAAGGCCATACGATTCATGGATACATGCCGCGCGGGAGGCAACGCAGCTACATGCGTGATAATACGAGCCAACATCTTGAAGCCACTGACTATCGGTGGCCTTTGTGGAAAAGTTAACAACATTGTTACATTATCCGGTAACGTTATCCGAATGTATATTTGGGGATCCGAAAGGCCGAAAGGTTGCACTGGATAATATCCGGCATTTACCAAGCGCGTTTTAGCGTGCAAATGGAACGTACGTTGGATGATATTGCGACATCGATCGATCTTACTCCGTGGACGTCCAAGCTCAAGTCGTTCACAGCTTTCGCTGCCGACAACACCATTCGCCACAGCAACAATGCACATCACTCTGTAGACCTCTCCATTGAAGCAGCATTCGTGGCGCTGCAGGCCAAATTGTCTGCCGCGGGCAAAGAGTTGGTGTGGAAGGACGTGTTGCTGAACAAGTTCGAGACCTCGTTGAAGCACGCAGAGAAACGTGCAGATTCAAACCAGGTCGAGTTGGATCATGCGTTCTTGGAACATGCCAAGCAAACAATGCTGGTGGAATCGCTTGACTTAAAACTCCGCGAATGCGCAGATGCCCGCGACGCGGCAAAGTTAATGCTCACAGACATGCAATCCCAACGAAGCGACATGGTTGATCGATGCGCGGCCATGGCTAGAGATATGTCGGTGGCTCAGATGCTGCGCGACCAAAGTGACCGAGAGTGCCGCGAGTGGAAGGATCGGTGTGTGCAGCTCGAGGCCGACCGGCGGGTGCAGTCGCAAGCGCTTCACGTGCAGCATCAAGAGTCGTTTGCATGGCAGACAAAGCATGACATTGTGCTGCGCCAACTGCAGAAACGAGAAGAAGAACGACGCCAACAGTTCGAGTCGAGGCAACGCCGGGTCTCACTGCAACCACCACCCCAACTTCCAACCACACACGACCAAGGCAGTCAAGTCTGCCATGTGAAGGGTACTACCACATGCGATACCGGCACTCAAACCTCTACACATGGCAGAATCGACGACGACGATCAAACATGCATGGAACTCCACCGGGCAGCGATTGCGCATCAGCAAGACCTGTTGACCATAGCATCTCAAGCAGCCCAAATCGACGCGCTTCACGCCAACGTGCAGCACTGGGAAGAGTCATATCGCCGCAGCATTCATGCTTATCAAGAGGTATATCGTTGTGGTAGAGCATTCTTGTGAACTGCGGCCATTGACCTGTTGACACAGTTGCGGCGCAAAGCAAACACGTGGAAGGGCTGTGTTGTGACGATGTTGCCCATCTACCAAGACAGCGCCAGGGCTGTAAAAGCCATGAAAGCCGCTCAAGCTGAAATGTCCAAGGCCAAACACATGTACGAGGTGGAAGGGCGTCGCTGGGCGACGCAGCTGAAGAACGTGGAAGAGATGCTGCGGCAGGCTAACGACCAGCTTCAACTCGACCAGCAAATGCTTGTCGAAAGCAAGAAAAGGTACTGGTAACCAAATTCCAGCCAAAACCACGGAGCTTATGTGGTGAATGCAGCTACGGTGTAGGGAGAAAGCCCTTGGACGAACGATCAAGAGCCGAGAAACAAAGGCTCGGGAGCTGGTCGTGGCACTCCAGTCGACCCAAACCAAGGTAACATCGAATCATTGCATTGGTGTCATTGAATGAGGATGACTAATGGCTAAGTGTAGTTGGACGCTATGCAAGCGCAATACACCAAGACAAAGGCGCTGTCCAAACAGCTGTCGGCAAGGTCGAGCCAAGTTCATGCCGCGTGGCAACAAGAGCGGACTGATCGCTTGCAGTAGTTCCACCCCTAATTCCGTGGTGAATGCTGATGCGACTTTGTTTAAATGTTAGAGCCATGGACGAGATTGAAACGTTTAGGGTAGCGCTGATTGAATGCTGCCAATGCGCTGTGACGCTGCAAGACAACCCTGTCCAGAACGGGCCGTTACCTGCGAGCCAACATCCTCCCAACATGCCCGCATCGACAACAACTTGGACGCTAGAACACTTGCGCGCGGTGACTGGACTTGCCGACCCCTTAGTGTATGGCTAATTTAAGTGCAAAACCACCACAGAGTTGTATTCTTTCCATCGTGTTTTTGTTTCGACGATGTATTCGGTTCTTATCAACGACAAAGAATTCTTCTTTATTCCTGCGACAAGGTTGCATTTTGTTCGACAAGGATATTTATTGCAGGCGCTGGAACACGGCGGCCTTGGCGTCTGTTGCGACACTGGGCGTCTCGAGGCTCACGGCATGTTCCTTCAACGCGGACGGCGCCAACACCACCATCGAGTTCTTGAGGGCTGCCGCCACGGACGCGACCACAAAGCCCGCGGGCACGTCAGTCAGCAGGATCTTGTCATTCGAAGTCAACTTGACTCTACATCATGCAACTCAACTATGAGGTCAACTACTCTTGGAACGATCATTCGTCGTACGAGTTCACAATGTCTTTCGCCTGCTTCAACACGTCGCCATGGGTCAAGGCAGCGCCGCGGATCGGGGTCTGACCGTTATTGCCTAGAACCCGTCATGACGTTGTGAATCATCTCAAATGAGAAGGCAGGGACGACGTACGAGTGTACGAGACGACGAGGGGCGCGGCGGCGTCGATTTGGGCTGTGCGCTGTTCGACATAGTGCGATTCCAAGGCATTCACGAGAATGCGGCGGAATTGGAGGAAGCCGTGTACAGGGTCGATCGCGGTCGTGATCACCGTCTGGAGGCCGCGCGCGTAAGGCTGGTTCGCAAACACTTGCTTAGCCACATCGGTCGAGTCACTGTCGTTGTTCTTGGGGTCGAAGAGCAACGCCACAGCCTTGCTGTCCTTGACCACGAACGCCAACTCGTCGACAGTCGAGATCGACGGGTCCACGGCAGCGATGTTCAACCCCGCCTTGGCGGCAGCGAATTGTGCGACCAGGTTTTCGGCGTTGTTGGGCAGCCACAGTGCGATCGTGTCGCCCTTTTGGAACTGCAGCTCCAAGAACCCGTTGGTCAGTTCGTTGACAAAGTTGTTAAACTCTTGGTAACTGAATCGCAAGTCGTCGTCGCGGTCGACATTGTTGAACGCGCGCACAGCTTCACGATGCGGAAGCGCGTCCACTGCCTTCTCGAGCGTGGCGCCGACGGTAGAGAACGCCTTCGCCACCGCCGAAGCACCTTGAGGACGGACGGAGCGACGCAACGAGCGAGCTAGGATCGAGTGCATGATTACAAGGACGGGCTCGTGGCTCCCAACAATTCAAGTCACTTGCGCTGCTGACGGGCGATAATCCTCTCACATTTAATATCGAATGCCAGAGAATTTATCATTTGTGGTGGGAAGGCGTATTGCGTATCCGAAATGATCCGGATAATTGGAGTCCGTCTTATACTCATTTCAACATGCTTTGCCGATTGACGCGCCAAGTCCGAGCGGCGCCGCTCGCGACGACTCGAAGCTTCACGACGAAGAAGGTGTTCCTTCCGATCCTGCGCAAGTTCAAGCAAGTGAACTCGGATGCGTTCTTGCCGCCCTCGCTGTTCCAACAAAAGATCATTCTGGTACACGACTAGTACTACCTTCGACTTGCTCCATGATGGGACGACCTTGCTGTACGTAGGTAGTGAACACCGCATCCAAGTGCGGCCTCACGCCCCAATTGAAGTCGTTGCAAGAACTCCATACCCGATATGCCGCGAAAGGACTCACGGTGCTTGCCGTCCCATCCAACGACTTTGGCGCCCAAGAGGTAGTTCGTCTCGTCATCCTTCCACGTTGAACACATACAGTGACACGGTTCAACCCTCATGTAGCCAGAAGACGACGCGACGTTGGAAGCCTTTTACAAGTCGGAGTACAACGTGACGTTTCCCATCACGACCAAGACCAAAGTGCTTGGGGACGATGCCCATCCCTTCTACCAAGCGATTGTCGAGCATTACACGAACGAAGTGTCCCCAGCGTATGTCCATCATCATCGTCCTCACTATCTCTCTCTCTCTCTCGTCCCATCTCAACATCCCCCGTACATCCAGATGGAACTTTGAAAAGTTCATCGTCGACGAATCCGGCGACCTCCGCGCCGTGTTTCCTCGCAACGTAGACCCGTTGGAGCCCGAAGTCATTGAAACCATCGAGAACCTGCTCAAGAACCTCGCACCCCCTTCTCCTCCATCTACCACTACCCCCACAGCCTAAACCATCCAATCCCACCCAATTCAACCATCACCAGTCGTATTATGGGTTTGCATCTCGCGTCACATGGTCTACTTGGCTGGGCCACGTAGGACTGCTCGCACGGTCGGGTGGTCGTTCATCCAATACCATCGTCTCTTCGTCGTACAGCTCCAAATGGATGTCGGCCGTCACCACATACGACAGCCGCTCGATTTCCCTACCACGTCGCAGATTGTCAGATGTCACAGACATGGTCATGCGATAGATACCGCCTCGCGCGCCGCGCAATGTTGTGGACGTCGCGCACCGCCATGTCTGGATGCACCACGATCGTCACGTCCAAGTCGGTGCCGTACGCCGTGCCGAGTTCCGATGGCCGGTCGCGATGGACCACCCAATGAACATTGACATGGGTCACACTCAAAATCTCTGGAATCGCCTTGATCGCATGCAGAACATCGTGCTTGATTTCACGAAACGGCCGCATTTGCTCGGCCGAGTTGCTGCTGCTGCCGTCGTCGTGGTCGTGTTCTACTCATGTTGACCATGTGGATACAAGTTAATGCATGGACATTTCACACAAGTGACATTCAAGGACATTTGGATGGATAGAGTCAACCAACCGTACGTACGTACCGTTGGCCACGTCAATGTGCACGAGCACTTCGGACACGTCGGGCACCCGTCGCAACACTTCGGCTTTGACCCGCGCCGCCAATTGTTGAGCTGCCGACACACTCGTGCGTCCATGGACCTGTACACGAGCATCAGTTTGGTATCGGTTTCGTGGCCATTGGATTCTTGTCCAATGGCACAATGGAGGTCGTACATTCACGCGGAGGTCGACCAACGTGTACGGCCCCATGCGTCGCGCGCGGACGTTGCTGACCGACACGACATCTTCGACACTGCTCGACTAGGTACGTACGTCCATGTGGTTCATACATCACATATATCCAAATGGCCACGAATCAACTACTCCAAATGGCCACGAAAACCAAAAAATACACGTACGGAATGACGCAGCAGGTCGAGCACTTCGTCTTCCACGCTTTTGTCCGTCAACTCGCGTACACTACAACAATATGCACACACCATATCCCCGTATCTCATCAACCGAGATATGCGATGATGTTTGAGTACCTGTCCAAGCAAATGTCGACACCTGTCTTGGCAATCATGCACGACACTACCGCTCCCGCGACTTCACAAACATGTGACAACGTCATGGGAATAGAATGATGCATCAGGTAGTTCAGGTCGTACTCGGATCAAACAGCGGGATGTTCGCCATGCTGCCCACGATGCCGCCTATCCACCACACCCAATGACATCACGACACGACCAGCATCACGTATTCGACGAACCGAGGGCCACCACTGACGAGATGGCGTCTGTGCGGTGGTGCCACGCATTGGCTATCAACACCTACAAAATTAAAGATCGACCTTGGTACATCTCGATGGACATGACTTGGGTACCTTGCTGTTGGTCTGGTTGCCGATACGCACGGTGGCATGGTACAGCGCTTCCTTGGCCCCGATGGACACGATGGCGGCACCGGCGGCAATGCCCCATTGGGTCGTTCGATCAAGTGCTATACATGAAGGTAATAATATCGCATGAAGAGAGGTAGATCCGTGGAGAAGGTTACATGTGAGGAACGAGAGGTCGAGAAACGACGGCACGGCGACGGTGGTGGCGGTGGCCGCATCGAAGAAACCGGTCTGGAGGATGTGGAACGCATCGTATCCCATGCCGACGCCAGCCGCAGTGAGGATGGCTCCCACCGTTAGAGACCCCACGGCTTCGAATTTCCCGTAGCCATACGGGTGCTCGTCGTCGGGTGGCAACCGCGAGATGCGGACGGCCCACAAGGTCACGATATCCGAAAGGAGGTCGGAGAGGGAATGGGCCGCGTCGGCGACAAGGGCGGACGAATTGACTGCGCATCCAACAGTCCCCTTGCATGCCGCCATGGCCAGGTTCACGTACATGCCGACGCGCGTGATTTTCATCGCTTGGTCGCTTTGCAGCGAATTCGGATCTGTCCTGCTGTCGTTGGATTTCTCTTTCGAGGACGTACTGTGCCCACGAAGGCGGCCGCATGTCGTGTCCACGACGATGGGTATCGTCGTGCTCGGACGATGCAGCAGAAGATGGAGCCTCCGAAGTGTGCTGCGTGAGGGTCGTAGCATGATCGATGTGTGTTTCAGGGGTGTGGACAATGGATAATCGCGTTCTTTGGGCCAATGAAAGAAAAGTATTTTTTTAATTGGTTTATTTATAACCAATCACATTTGTACATGCTTCTGGTTACGCCACAGAACATTTGGTGTAGACCTCGACATACATCTCCAAAAGTTGAAACGGCGCAGCGCCAGGTTTCCATCACCGAACTTTTCGAGGTGGACCAGTGCATGCATGCAGTAACGTTATGCATGGCTAGGCCGCATGAAGTCGTTCCCTACGTAGCCAAGGTCTGCCTGAATCAACGTGGCTGTACCGGTACGTGCAGCTGCAGTACGCTGGGCCAGCGAAATGGCATTGGTAGGCTTTGTCACCTGCGCACCAGCGAAAATGCATTGCTGCTCTGTCGTCTGTCCACCTATACGTACTGGTTTGGGTTATCGCAGTGGCAGTCACATGTGTAACCTTTGTGAACACACACACACACATCATACACACATGAACAATGACAACTCGATGGCATGTACATTGTTGCCTTCACTGACACGATGGATTGCATCCGCGCATCATCGTCAGGTTCAAGCAATCAGGGAGTAACTGTGTATCACCATCATGCATGTTGATGATACTCTTGCGTCAATTCTCCACGGCGCGCATGTGCTGAAACGACGTCTTCGATACACCAGCTTTATCACCATATCGCCAAATATCCGACGACGGCATTTTCCGGCGGCGGCTTTTCCGACGACTGCATGACAAATCCGGATAATTCGGCTTCGATTTCCAGTTGAAGTAATCAACACACAATCCGCGACAAATGGATACAGTGTGTATGCCACTTTCCAACTTTCCATCATGGACACCACCAGCTTGGCGGAATTCAAGCTCATCTCGGCGGTCGCGATCTGGCTCCTCGCGCTTGGTGGCGGCATGTTTCCCATCTACGTTCTCCAGATGAACGCCAAAGTGACAAGTACTCTGAACATGGCGGCTGCAGGCATCTTCCTCTCGGCATCCCTTGTGCACATGCTCCCCGATGCAGCAAAGAATGCTCCGCTCCTCGAGTTGGGGTGCACCCAATTCATGTGCTTCCCGTATGCGTTTATCATTTTCGCCGTTGGCTTTCTTCTCATCTTGCTCATCGAATCCATGGCCCACGCCCTTCAGGAACGGCTCCACGGATCGGCCGACGAACGTTTGCCGCTGCTTGTGAACGCCCCCCACATCGCCCACGACCCCGCCGACCCATGCGTGAAGGTCGAGGTCACCCACGCGCACATGCATGGACTCATCGACACGTCTTCGAATCCGTTTCTCGCCATCGTCGTGTTTGCAGCGTTGTCGTTTCATTCCCTTGTGGAAGGCCTGGGCATCGGTGCCGCCACGTCCACGAACGCATGGCAAATCTTCTTTGCCATCGTAGCACACAAAGCGTTGGCGGCGATGGCACTTTCCCTCGAACTGGTGAAGCACCAAGTGCAGCGGCCCCGGCTGATCGGGAGCCTCTTCGTGTTTGCTTCCATGACGCCGTTGGGGGTCATGCTGGGCGCGGCGCTGGCTGGCGACGACCCGAGCGACAGTCTGGCCGGTGGGGTATGCACGGCGTTGGCTGGAGGCACGTTCTTGTACGTGGGGGCGATGGAGATCATCCCACAGGAGCTGCACGACCGCCGCCATCTCCTGCAAAAGTGCGCCGCGATGGTCGGTGCCTTTGGTGCGTTCAGTTTGCTCGCGTTGTGGGTCTAGTCGATAGTAGCTATGTATACTATTTCATGTAATTTAAGTCAACTACGTATTTCTAGTACATACTGTACCAGTGGATGCTTCATCCACTTGATTTCTATCCAGTGGCCATTGTGGACAACAATGTCTAGTTGATGCACTTCCTTAACTGGATTCACAACTTGGTCGTTTCCGTGTGGTGGATATGAAAGCATTGACATATCGCCCCCTGTACGTACCTCCTCGCCTACATGATTGACGGCCCTCCAACCGACCGATACATTACGAATATACTACAGTACTCACATGGGACGATGGTAATCAAGAACGTGCAGAGGGGGGTCCATGGTGATGATCGTAATCGGCGATACTCGCTCGTTGCCGAGTCCTATACAGTACCTAGCTACGTTGGTCAATTCGAATTATGACGGTTTGGTGTTGGCCTACGTAACTGAATATATATATATTATATATATATATTACGTTACGTAGTGTACTAGTATGTCGTAATGCGTTGATATGGACTTGTTGGGTGTGTAGGTGCTAGCTACTGTTTGGACCGATGAATACGTACTGGCCTGTTCGACTTTTCCAGCCTTCTTCTTGTACCAGTAATTGAAATACAGTAGGGTGTTGAAGGGCGATTTTCAGTAACTTAGTACATGCTTGCATGAATAATGCGGATTATTTGTCACTGGAAATACGTACGGCAAGTACCGGTAGGAGTACTGTACAGTACACGACCGTAATTAGAGTACTGTACTCACCCCACCAACAGCATTGCATTGAACATTCGTGTTTCCATAACTTGGTTTCCATGTCATCCAAAACAATAAGCCAAAGCAGTAGTGCATGCTTAATACATCCTAGTATTCAATACAAGTGTTGCCACGGATGGAAGTTAACATGCGAACTCGCGCTGGCTCCCCCGCGACGACTTGACCGACAGCACGACGGCGTCCAGCGCACAAGGCCAGACAGGCCTTGGAGTTTGGGTTCCACATGTACATGTGCACAACGTCGTCACGGGGAACTGCGTGGACGCGTCTGGCAGCCACGGGGCCATCCGCGAGTGCTAGTGGAAGGGCCGCAACGACACGTCCTGAGGCGACGTGGGGGCCAGCGTTCCACGTTGCTACCTTGTGGTCCAGTGGAAAAAGATCGATACGTACCAATTGTACATCGCGGGCTTCGTGCTCTTGAACTACCACGTGGCGCTCCATAGGTCGACGAGTGGCCATCACAAGCTGCGAGTTTGCCGCGGTACTTGGGTTGTTCCATACCAAGGTGTGTTCCAGTGGCAATGGCACGAGTCGAGCGACGTGAGTTTCACGCTGCACGGTGGCTAATCGTTCGCGCTTATCTGCTTTGAGACGGTTGACTTGCCGCTTCGAGTGGAGGTCAAGCTCTTCTTCCACTCCGGCTCCTTGTTGACGGCTTCGAGTCGAGATCGACGAATGGGCTGCTCCTCTGCTAGACGGCGCGCCTCGACCTTCTTCATGGCCCAGTAGGCGGCCCGACGATTGCGTTCGTCGCCCGCGAGAAGCACGCGCTTCGACGACACATTTGAGCTGGCGTTCGAACTGCGCTCTCGTTGGCGCACGGCGTTGACGGCTTCGGTGATGTGATTCATGACGACGTGCTGGAATCTCGTAAAATGTTCTGTCGCCTTCCTGCAAAAGACCAAAGCATTTCTTATCTATAGCCACATAGCTGTGATGCTGTCTGTGGCTCAGAATATATCCCCGTGTCCCTTCAAGATCGTCAGGTAGAGGCCACGAGTGTTACATGCATTTCGGTTTTCTAATTCGCTGATTGGGCAGAAATTCAATTTCAAGATTGTGGCACATTCCTGTAGTTTCGGTTGAACTTTGTCCCGTGTGTAGCCGTTCTCGACGCATGGAGTTGGAGCTGTGATCACTTCAAGTGCCGTTCTGTCAACACGCCCGCTCTCCACCAGTCAACCTTTCGCTGATCAGTGCATCGCGCGTGTGCGTGCCAGCCGTCCTTCATGGAGCACCAATCTGTGCCACGCATGTAGCCGACCCTGCACCCTTCTTGCAGCTGACTGCTCGAGTGGCGTCTTGCGGCAGCCCCTGTCACTTGGGTTCGCTACTCCGCAAGACGTCGCTCCTCACGCGCGTACCCATGGCATGCGACGGCTGCGTTCGTTATCGCGCGGTGAGGGCTGGCGCCATCAACCGTCGAGTTGACTTTTTCCTCGTATGATGCCGACACGGGTGGCAACCTATAGCAAACGACAAGAACCGCCACGATGGCAGCAAGACTACGTGTACGTCGTGTGGTGTGTCGCAACTAAAGCAGCCTAGAATCAGGTACACACACTTCGTGCTTAGTGATGTGGATGGCTCCGTTTTTGAATGTGCATTGGGGTACCTTCCACGGGGTGGCTCAGTTTCCGCTTCAGCACGACATGTACGAAGTGACGGTCGAAAGCTAAACGTATGTGTGCCTGCCTGCCTATCCATGATGCATGCACCCATTTGTTATTGCATCAGCGGAATACAAAAAGCCTTCATGTGGCCTTGGTGCATGTAGGTGCTGCTGTCGACTGGCGTCGTCGCTTCGGAATTGCCAGACCTTGCTCAACAGGTACAACGTTTTCTTACGAGTCATTGAAATATATATAATCAATGTGTTTGATCTGATAGTTGGCTTTTAGTATATATTGCATTACTATGCATCTCCGCTCGGGTCAATCACTACAGACAGTATGCTGGTGTTGCTGTCCGCTGTGAGTTGCCTCGTGTACACCGCTACAGTACGGACACCGGGCGCTGCGGGAGGCAAAGATTGAAAAAAGTAGAAGCAGAGAAGGAAGATGCTCGCCGCCAGCCCACCGGCAACGCTTTGTACCCTTCCATGGCGACCACCTAATGATACACGAAATATATTTTTCCACCGTGATGAAACGGGGATGTATATATATTATATATATCTATACCTTGGTTTGGAGCGCTCGAACGTCGCTATCTGGGCCACAGTAATGCGGATCCAAGATCAACAGCCACATGTCGGTAGCTTGGGCGCTGGAGGCTACGCCCACCACGGTGAACGCCAGCGAGGCCCCGCCTATTCGCCGCCATGTCATGCGAGCATGAAGAGGAGGACGACCCACTGACCCATCATGACTGGCGTTCCATGGGTGTCGAAGTGCTCGATCAAAGTCGACGCATGCAAGGGTAGGTCGCGGCCACTGGCGCAGTGGATGGTGCGGCAGCTGACCTATCACCAGGCTTTAGATATCGCGTGGAATTGAATCGAAGAGTATAGTAGGATTAGATGACTAGTACTACTACTAGTTAGTACATTGTATCGGGCGTCCAACACAAACCCCACTTCAACAGACCCAATCCAGGCTTTCGAACCAGCAAACTGCGGCGGCTTGTCGCCCATGCGCACCAAACTGTCTTGGATGTCACGATGACTTGGCACGGGAAGCTATACATACAATATAGACTTTCATCAATAAGACTACTACCATAAATAGCCCCATGTGTCCTTGTATAAGACTAGTAGTTGATTCGGAATCTTGCACCTCAGTGTAGTGATTCCACCACAGCCACGACGCCAGCGATTGCAACGACCGGTACGCACATCCCCATCCCTACTAACATGATGATGACCAAGCATCCAACTCGTTCTACAATACCTTGTCCTGGACACCGTTGTGATTGTAGTGGTAATATTCGACTTTGCCTTGGACAAGGCTAAACGTGCTCACGTGTTCTGGCACAGGAATGCCAACGTGCACATTCACCAAATGTCCCAATGATGGGCTGTCCACCCATTGGCAGCGCGGTCGAAAGAGACACTGTGTCGTCGGTTGAAACCACATCGCATGCAGGTGCTGGCGTTCACACTCGGCCAAGTGGAGGCCGTTGCGAGTCCACAGCCCGATGGGATGCGCGGCGCCTCCATGCAGCGGGTACTGGACGAGCGCGAACGATGCCGAGTTATGTCGAACGGTGTCTTGCTGGGATGAAGGCGAAGGTTGGAGTTTTGCAACGTGCTGGACGCGGTTAATCTATATGCATGCATAGTCCTGATTCACAAGTTCTGTTCCGTGTACGAAGATGACCATAGTTGTATCTCCTAGAGTCGTCCTGGAAGCCAATATGTGAGAGCAAAGTAGCTCCATTTAGTTACCTGCAAATGTAGGTGTGCGATAAGCGTCGCCAGTGCTGCAGCGACCGACAGCTCCCATGGTACACACACCACCACATCGAACGCCACGTCCACCGTCTCAACTATATGTGACAACGTCGAACTACGCTTCGAATAACGGAGATACTGTAGGCAGACAATCAATAATCGACCAATCAAAATCCAGATCACGAATCAAGTAGCCAATCAAATCCACTCTTTGACCAATTCAAGTGTGTGACTTCAATTAGTGTGATACACTGGACAGTATATGTATGTAGTATATGCAAGAAGTCGTACATTGGGCTCCTGGGGCATGGGCAGTCCATACTGGGGCTCCAGCAGCAGACGACGACATGGCGCGATGTATGGTCACGGGATGGTGCGACGACCTGTACGGCGCGCCGCCTCCGTGCGTTCGCTCGTGGTAGGCAGGCAACACGTCGCGCAACGACAGCCGTCCATTTGAAGTGTCGTTGGACAGAAGTTTGCCGTGAACGACGTCGCCAGAGATGGCGAGTATGAATTGGCACGACGACGACAGCGTAGGCAGTTGAAAGAAGCTTCGGGATGGATCCTGCATCGTTTGTCGAAATGTCTCAAGCGCTGTCACAAACAAGTCGTCATGCGAGGGTGGTGGCGACGGTAACGTCGATGGAGGTGGTGTGATCTGCAGAATACGATAAGACGGATCTGCGATGTGGGAAAATGGCGGTACCCACGAGAGCGATGTCGTGAAGGAACATCGAAGCATGGTGTAGTCGATGCTAGAGAGAAACGCAGTCGGGTCGTCGTCGCCGTCGTCGGTTATGTTGTCCAACGTCATGGAGTTCCATGATGTCGTGGCGTCCTACGCGGCAATATGTCAGAGTTTGAAGTATGCGTGGCGGCGGATGCAAGCACTTGCATGGATACTACTAGATGACGGCGGCAAGTACACTTGGACTTGACGTGACCCGCGCTCGTGCACTAGCACGTACATCGGACGTGGCGTGCCATCCTTCGTCGTGTTGCCAAGCCGATGTTGTACCTTTGCGTCGACTTTCTCGACTATCAGTAGTAGATGGACCGATCACCCCATGACCATAAGGTCTTACACATAAACAATGTCGAACTTACATATATCCTGCTTCGATGCATCCGCATGAACTATCACGACCGGACCGAGCACTCGCAGCCCCCCTGGCAACATGTCGCAATGGGTCCACGGTTCGTTGACGCTACTGGTACGGTCGCAGAAGTCGCTCGTGATAGACCACACGGCAATCGAGTCATGCGTGTCTGTGCCTACAAACGATGCTTCTTCGGTGCCATCGAGCAGCGCGATCGTTCGCAGGAGCGAGCGTGGTATGCACCCGTGTGACACTGGCGCTAACATTGCGAGCGACATTCACAATGCAACCATCATTTTTGTACATACTTGAAATAGTGTACTAAGTAGTATTGTCAAAGTTACCAAAACCTAAATAGTGTTGGTTGATCGTGGGGACTGTTGTATGGATATTCCAGCACTTTCCGCACACTATTTTCCGTCATGCCATCCCCAACCCAAGATACCGGATATCACGGGCCAGTTGGCAACTGCACTGTCCTTCTTCTACATTTTTTCGTTTTGTAACGATCGGATGCTGCGTCAACTCAGCGGGTCGTGTGAGGCGACCACGCGGACGACCGTTGGTTCAGCGCTCGGCGCCTCACAATTCTTGCGGCGACCGGCGTTCTCCTCGACCCGCCTCCCGCCACTGACCTCCCCGATCGCAGAAACACCGATGAAGCCCACGATCCCGTCATCGTCGCCGCTTCCAGTGTACATCTACCCACTCCTCGTGCCCGCGGCCGGCTTGGTCACGATGGCCATGACGATTGGGTACAGCTGCACGCATCAGTTCACGTGTTCGAACGTATATCCGACGCTGTCCACGGCGGCCAAGTACCATCCGCAGTTCTCCATCTTCGCCGTGGGGATGAACGTCACGTCGTACATGATCTTCCTCACCGTGTCGCTGTATTCGACGTTCCTCCTTCGCACCGTTCCCACGTCGACGTCCTGGCAACGACCGCTGGCATGGGCGTACTACGGGTTTGGACTGCTCACGTGCATTGGTCTCAGCACGTTGGCGACGTTTGACCTGAAGCGATGGGAACACATCCACATCGCGGCGACCGTCGCGTTCTTTGTGAGCTCTTGGATCATGATGTTTCTCGCGCAAACATCGCGATGGATGGTGCACTACCGCCAGCCGCATGTCGTGCGGCCCCACCACCGGTACGAACCCGCTATTCGTGGAATGTCCTCATGTTGCTGTCGTAGGCGTGCGTTGATGTGGGGAAACGTCTGGCTCGGCGCCGGCATCGCTCTCTCGGTCGGATGTACGTACCTACCCCGGACCCCAAAAGTAGTTGTCACGTCTCACTTTCGCGTGTACATAGTTGGGTTTTGCTACCTCTCGGTGCACGACCATATTGACAACGTGTTCCACGTAACGTACCTCATGGAGGCAATGTGCGAACTGTTTTCGATCTGCTGCCAGCTTCTCTTCATGGGCACATTGTCGGCCGAAGTCGGCGACCTCGAACGCATCAACGGGTACTTCAACTCGGTCGACGCGGCAGTCCTTGGTTCAGTCCTGCTCTCTGTGTTGGCGGTCGAATGTGCCTGACCACCTACGGTTCCGCCACTACTCTCAACTAACTACTTATACAAAATAGACAAACCCTGTCGCATGTGATGATTCACGACACACCCTCAATGTGTTGTACTAGTAGCCTGCGTTCGTCTGTGGTGCGCATACTTCAACCTTCCCAAAGGAACAAAGGTCCAGTGGGCAGACTAGTGCGCATGTGTTCTCTCATGTTGTAGCTGCCGCGGTTTGTTCAATACGGGTGGTCTTTATAAATATAGTCGTTGATTAGGCTTTCACTGAAACATTTATTTAGGCTGCCACAAAAAATGTCAGAAAAACTTTTCAGAAATATTGTGATAATTTTTCCAACGAACCAAATCTCACATACTGAATTGACCTAATACAGTATTCTGATCGATTGATCTCGTCGTCGAATAGAATCACCAATGGACGCTATTGGCTGATCCAATTTTCAGTGGATTTGATTGGCTCTTACAGAAAGGACAAGTATAGTCAGCCAATCAGAACTCCAGCGTGATTCAATTTTGATTCGACAAACCTCGCGAATTTTGGTTGTTTATAGCGAATTTACAATAATACGTCGAACTTTTTTACAGTTTCTGACAGAAAAATAATTTCAACGGCAACTGTCCAATTTTTACCTAACGTTACATGATATAGTTATGCAATCATGACATCCAGAGGTCACATCAACATGTTTGCAAATATTATTTTCTCAGCTCCCATTTGAAAAGGATATTCTCTGTCAGAATTTTATTTACATCAAATTTCCTGTGGTAGCATCCAGACTCACCCTTACTGTTAATATAAATATGTTGAAAAAATAACTACATAAATCGAATTATCTGCTTTTGATTTTTATATATATATATCCAAAACATATACTTCAAAGTACGTCTAAATACATCGAATTATCTGCGTTTGATTTATATACACTAGTATAAATATATCCAAAACACAACACAACGGAGGTACAGTACTACATGTACCACACTGTAAACACCTTGAACTACACGCAACTCACACCATGTATTATGTATATATATATTATGTTGATCTATTCCTACAGCGCGACGTCTCATCTTGTTGCAGGTAGGTGGTCGGGGGGGGATGGGGGGGTTACATGATGGAACATTCGCCTTCTTCGCCGTCGTCGGCGGTCGTTGCACTGGGTCCTCCACCTCGCGCCGCCGCCGCGCCGCTTCCACTCGTCGACTTGGCGGCTTCCTTTATCTTTTCCTGGCACGCGCATGCAAAGCTGGACGAGACGCCGGCAAAGTAGCACCGATTGCAGTTATCGCAATGAACATCGCGGTGGTCGCCGCAGCGTTTGCACTTGGAGCAGTGGTTGCGCTTGTGCTTTTCTCGATCGCACAGCTTGTTGCTGCACCAGGAAAAGTCGTACACCTTGTCGCAGGTTTTGCACGTGTAGCCGTCGATGCAGTCGAGGATCGTCAGGGTGTCGTGGGATGACGTGGCGCAACACGGAGGCGGCAGCCGTTCGTGGAGCTTGGTCATCATGTCTCGGATCTTGGACAGGTTGTGCATGAAGCAGTCGTCCTTGATGAGCGACGACACGTCGATGCCGGCCATGGCGATGCTTAGAAACGGGTTCTTACAGGACGTGCACCGGCATGTGATGCCGCACATGCTGCCCTCCTTCACGCACGCGCAGCGGCCGTTGCGGCAGCCGCCGGCACACCGACACGAGTGCATCTTGGTCGACGATGGCGCGAGCACGACCATGTTGGAGGACGAGGGAATCGGCTTGGTGCTGCCGTGAAAGTGGTGGGAGGACGTGACGGGGGCGTTGGGCCGCGGCGCGATGGGCACGACGCGCGCCGCCGTGGGATGGACCGGCAGAAGCGTCTGGCCGTGGTTGTTGAGCACCATCCAGTAGTTGGGCATGGTCGTCGCCGGCGTAAACGCGAGCGGCGTTGGCGGCGGCGGCATGGCGTACGTGGTGGCCAGAGGTTTTTCGTCAAACGAGGCGAGATCCTCGAGGATTTCCATGTCTTCCATCGGCAACAAGTCGGTATCGTCCGACAAGGCCGATGCCGACGAAGGGGACGTGGTCGCGTCGTCCTGCGTGAGGAACGACAGCAGCTCCGTGTCCTCCATGAGCGAGGACGGATCGTTGGATACCGAAGTCACGTCCATGTTGTCGTCGTCGCTGTCATACGCCATGAGCACGTCGACTTCTTCAAGGACCGGCGTGGCGACTTGGACGCGGTCGACGCCGCCACGACACATTGGACACGTGCGATTCGACCGGTACCACCGGAGGAAGCAACGACTGTGAAAGATGTGGCCACATGGAGCGATTTGCGTGTGCGCGTTGCTTGAGAGACACACGGAACATTCGTGGAGCGAGATTGGGAGGTGCGGGACTTGCTTGGCGATGGCGGTGCAGTGGCGGGCAATCTCCACTTGCGCGGCGTCGATCGACGGCGGCGGTGGAGGGGATTGGCCATACATGTACGGGTGCTGCTTCGACGTGTACGACGAAGACAGAGTTGGTTGAGATTCTTGCTTGAATATAGGTTGGTTCTGTGCGTGGAAGGAGTTGTGATAGTAGTGGTACGCAGGGGCCGCGGCCATATGTGAGTTTGTGGATCGATCCGAGTCCACGCAGATGACCTTCCCAGCCGCGTGGGAACCCCATCCGTCTAGTTGAACTCGCTTGACTCCTGGCATGTTGTTAACAGGAGGAGGTGGCGTCGGCGGCAGCAGCAACAACCGTAGGACTCCCAAAGGCAAGATGGGTTCTGATGGGTTGTTCGTGGTGCTGTTTCACCATCAAAATGTCTCATACCACCGAATTTCACCCGATTTCGTCGGAAAAACCCGATTTTGGACCACCTTTTTGCACAAACGGCCGCATTTACATGTGACAGCTGGCCTTACCACCTGACTTGAATTAATTTACTTCAACACATCAGCGAACTTGAAATTTGTATACTTCTCGAGGAATATTATTCGACGTTGTTGAGCAGTTTACAAATATACAAGTGTGAAATGTCCGGATACGACCCAAATGTCGGAATTCACTTATCAACTTCAACGCCCCCACCTCCTGGTAATTTCTTACACCAACAAAACTTCGTGGCGGTCGTCGTCTGAGCCCGCTATAGACAAGATGGATATCGACGGTGCTGGATACTGAGGAGTTGTCGGCACGTACAGTACATTACCTGGTAACGTTTGCAGGACTAAGAATGCCCTACAGTACCGGTAAGGTAGCATTGCTATGAAATTGTTTTTTAACTGTAAATGGCCCAACTAATACTATTTCAATAGTATTAGTTGGGCCATTTACAGTACTACTATTAAAATAGTAGTACTGTAACTAGTATTAATAATAGTCGGCGGTTGTACTTCACTGTCAATGTATGATGTTCTAAAATTACTACCTGTATACGTAAATTAATACGAAGTACTAGTAGTAGTTTACAGTACACACTTTGTTATTTAAATCTACCATTGCTGTAGCCGCCTCTATTTTTCCTGGCTGAGTCGACCCCACAAGCTACTTTGGTGCTTGGGCATTTGTTGCTGGAAGGTTTCGTCGAGAGCGTCACTGACTGCGGTGACGATGTGATGGCACTAATCGGCCTGCAATACCAACGCAAAATGATAGAGATGGCATTGTTCAAGGATCATAATTGTGGTTGTTGCATGGCTTTTACTATTGTACCAGGTATTACCAACGCTCGTTCTACTCTTGCCCAAGGGTTTACCTACCTTGGTAGTGATGTGGCACCGAAAGTGCTCCGGGAACGCGACGGTCAATCGTTCGCGCTGCATGTTGGTATCGTCCACTTTGCGAGTGAGATGGTCCAGTAAATAACGACCTGTCTTTATTTAGCTCATGTGCCAGACTCTCGATTTGCGTTGTTTACAGTTAACGTGTGGTTTTAATATTGTCATCCATTGATTAGTGAGATAAAACAATGGGCAAATTGGGTGAAAAGCACAATACTACTGTAGTACCGGTAAATATTAATACTGTACAGTACACTCGTAAAGAACGGTGCGTTTCTTTATACAGGTCATTGCGTGCTGCAGACAGCACTGTAGCCATTTGAATCCTGTGCTTCGTCAATAACGTTACTCGAATACTACAGCGTGCAAAAAGTGACGAAATAACGTTAGCAGCCACTTTGCCGTGGCCGATTGTCCTTTGCCCACTGTACATCGACTTTGACAGGCAAATATTCCTGTTAGAGTCGATGTACAGTGGGCAAAGGGCATCCATCCCCACCGGTAAGACTGTATAATCAGACTGTAAAATGCCGTTTTACAGTTCCTGTATTTTGATTTTTGTCAACCCCAGCGATAAGACGGTAAAAAATCGGCATAATTATTATACGGAGATGAACCCGGAGGCATTAGTTTGCTTTGGGCGACGGTGATGGAATTCACTTGTGAGATCCTTGACCACCTTCCCACCCTGTATAGTCAATAGTAGGCCGCCACTGTAGGTACTTCGAAGTATATGGACTCACCATGGACGATGCGGTTGAGAATGACGACGGTTCTAAGCAACGGGTTGATGGAAGTAAGGAAAATCGGTCATTAACACCTGAGAACGTGTGTCATTGCTCAGTGAAGGTTGTGCTTTGGTTGGGCTGCCGATGCACTTGACGAGATTATTGAAGTGTGAGCCACGAGCGCGGTTGAAGGATCCATTTGCTCGAAGGAAAGCGATTACTACGGTAACGTTAGTACTGTATTGGCTTTCCGCAACTACTGTACAGTACATGACACCGATATTGGTGTCATGTAGTTGATGGAAAGCCAATACAGGATTGGACATAATTATCTATGCATGACATGTTATTGGCTAATTCGTCAAAACTGTATTTTACAGTCGCGACTGTAATTTGCAGTAGTATACAATTTCCTGTATTTTACAGTCGCCCGGTGGGGTTGTCAAAACTGTAAATATTCCGGATAGAACTGTAAAATAGCGTTTACAGTCGCACCGGTGGGGATGCTCTAGAGCCACTTAAGAACGTGCAACTGCCCAGCCTAATGACACGCGAAAAGCATCGCGTTGCACTTGTCCGGGATAATATTATAACGTCGTTGTGCAAATACTAGTACGCCACGACTGGCATAAATCCATGTCGACACGCCCCTTCGATCGCAGCCGTCGTGCTTTCTAAATGGCGACTTGTGCAGCATCGTTCATCGCACGGCTCGAGCAAGGAATTCCATATGCTTAGGATCATTCTAAGGAGTGCCAAGTTGCCCCCAGCTGCTGTGCATTCCACTGGTGTGTTTTCCACTGGTGTGTTTTCCACTGGTGTGCTTTCCACTGGTCTTGAGCAAGAAGTGCACCTCCGTAAACCGACCAGCCTCGGCTATGACGTGGCCAAGCTGCACGTGTTGGGCTAAAACACCAGGTTGTAAGAACCACTGCCCGACAGTCAAGTCCCCGTCGATTTTGGTCACATGAATGAGAGTCCACGTCGATACCACCAGCCTTTGCGTCGCGTGGAGCACTTTCAGATGTCGACACATCGACCCAGCACGATCGGTACATCCTTGAGTTGTGTGAGTACGCAAGAAATGTTCCACCGACAAATGCCCATTCTTCGCGCGTGCAGCCTTGGGTTGACATGCAAAAATAGATTCCACCATCGTCGTCAGGCCACCTCTTCCTTGATGCTGCATGGTCCATTGCGTCAGCTGTACAGCCTTCAGCTCTCGATGCCGATGTAGCCATATCACAACGCTGAAATGTCCTCCATCTGCCGCGCCATTCATGATACTGGTGGTGCAACCTTCTTGTCGACGGTTGTGACGACTTGTATATATTGCCATTTGCAGACGCACCGTCCATGGCGGCTGTCGTTGCGGGTGAATGACGTAAGCCCATCCAACCATTTCAGCACACACAGATAGATAACTATGCTATGCGGCAACATGCATCACTGTGGGGTCCATGATCCCATACCCCTGAACCTAGACCACCAAATCCAAATGGTCACTTTCAACAGCTTCCAAAACCGACGCCGGAGTGACGGCGCCCGGTCGATACCCATGGAGGAACTAGACCGCATCGATATGGCCACCCAAGTACGCGTTTGTTGACGGTATACAGTGACGTTAGTATTGGGATACTCCATGCCACGGATTGACAAGTCATTGGAACTTTCTACCTGACCTGTTTCCGACGCCATCTGCATCGCTTCTTCAAAGCAATTCTCGTCAGGGCGATGGGTCACCTCCAACCATTGCATCACATCCAGACGCCCCGCATGCGTGGATCAATTCTACGACGTCCAGATGGCCACTGTCGCCGCTGCCATGCCAAACGCTAGTTCAGAGCAGCTTTGGGACGATTGCTCCGTTCAAATATAGCACTGCGGGAGGAAGCGTGTGTAGTTGAGGGCAAAATGCACAATGAATTAACTGAAGATCTACAAAGATCTCCTTAATCCTCATCATAAAATCTTCTTAGTCTACTTCACTACTTCTACACTAATATGCATTTTTGTATACAATGGATGCGGGTGCGGTTGAGACATTGGGAACTTCACTAGGCTAGCGATTCTAAGCTATACTTGCCCTTGAGACACGTTCCCAGGCAAGCATGATCTAGGATGCGC